CCCCCCCCCCCCCCCCAGGCTCCTGAGAAAGGAAAAATGCCTACGTCGTCATGGCCTAGCTCAGGTTGGGGGAAGCATGTTCTTTTCTTTGTCAGTAGCAGAACAGGAATTAGGGAGTCTTCTTAAGCTTCTTATGACAAAAGTAAACAGAACATAAGCAGTACAATGTGGCAGAAAAAATCCTGGATTTGAGAAAGAAACTTCAGTCTGCTCCTAACTCTGGCTTAGCTACTTATTCAAACCCTTACTTATTCCAGAAAGGACCGAGCAGCTTGGTCATCAACCAATCAATCAATCAATCAATCAATAACGCAGCACTAGCCAGCAATTATTAGCTGGATATATTTGGGCAAGCTACTGTGATTATTCTTTGTTTTCCTATCTGAAAAAAAAAAGGAGACAATCACACTAATTTCACAGGTTTTTGCAAAGGTAATGAGTGTGAAAGTACATGGTCAATTATAAAGTATTATGCAGATAATAGTTATTTTAATTACTGTGGATTAATAACATGACAATAAAGATCCCAGGGGGAGGACTGGGAGAAAGGAGAACTGAGATCTAGCAAAATGAGAAGTGGAGGCCAAAAAAAAAAGAGAAAGGTGGAGAGAACAGAAGTTCAGGTGGGAGCAGATGAAGAGTCAGTATGTTCAGCACTTCCTGAACTTTTCCAGCCACTTGTACCATGGTGGTCAGAACTGATTCACTATACAGTCACTATAGGGAACACGCAGGAATCAGAAGCCAAGAAAAAGAGAGTGGATTGGGGTGGGGGAGAATGAATGTTGCAGTGGAGGGGCTCTCAGGGTTTCAAATATTAAGGACTATGGTCTCAGAGAGCAGAGGTTAAGGTGCAGTTGGGGTTGGCATCTCTATTTTCAGTGTCCAGGGAATGGGTCTGGGTCACCTGGTACATGGGCATGACTTGCCCCTTCTCCTGGAAGATCTCAGCATCACATTGCCCCAGCAATCGAACAATTTGTTCAGCATCTGCTCTGTCCAGGTCCTGGGTCAGTGGGTTTGACTTCTCTGTGATTGGCAGGGGCTGCCTCATACCCAGACAACTAGAGGGAAGGGGGCACAAAGATACAGGCAGGAAGCCGAAGCTTCATTCATGCCTGCTGATCCAGAGGTGGGAGTGGCAGCAGGCGCAGTACTTGGACACGGACACACACACACACACACACACACACACACACACACACACACACATGCACACACACATCACCCAAGGATTTAGCCTGCACTTGGTACTCTGGGCCTATAAGGGAAAAAAGATCAGGAAGGAAGATGGGAAGGAGGAGGGAGAGAACAGAAACCAAGGGTGGAGGAAAGTCCAGAAAAGAAATGATTCTAGGAATCAATGCAGAAGACCAACATGGAGAAGGGGGTCTCACCTCCCACTTGCCAGGCTCTGGGGTCTCAATCACATGTTGAAAACGTTTTGTGCCCGGCATGGTCGCACGCTGTGGACACCCTGTCATGCCTGCCTCTTCAGCCACGCAAACCTTTCTGTCACACTAACTCAGCTTCCAGCTGGCAGGGCCTTATCTGAGCCACAGTGATGATTAACCCAAGTACCCTGGCCTCTCTGAGTACCACCCCCTCTGAGCACCTCTTCCTGCACCCTTTCCTGGTCAGTAGGCCCCCAGCCCACTCGTCACCTCAGGGGAGCTCCTGGGGTCCTTCTTTGCATGCATGCAGACTGCCCAGCCTCTGCTTTGCCCCTAAAGAGGAAACCTGAGGTTCATTACCTTTGCCCTTTGGACACAATGACCTCTTCTCTGGATGACCTGGAGGCTGGAAGTGCAGGACAGTACTCAGGCTCAGGCTCAAGCCCAGGGCAGTGAGAATCCCTGAGCAAGAGTGCTCTGGGACCAGGATGCATCAGGAGGCCAGAGATCAGGATCTTCAGGGACAGTGGAGGTCAGAGGACCAGGACCATAGCTTGATCACATGCTCAGAACACCCAGTCCTCCCTCTTGCCCCATTTCACTCTTTCATCTCAGAAGGAAGGCAACAGAAGCTTCAGAGCCCCAGGGGGACACACACTGAACTGGATATTACAGGAGAAAGTGCCACAGAAATAGAAATGCTGCAATGAGAATTAGAAACCAAAGTATCTGCCCTAAATACATTAGCCAACATTTATTTACACTGAACAATGCACTTTTCACATATCTTATCTCATTGGATACATTAACACTAAGAAGATTGTATTGACACCCTCATTTTTCAGATGGTGAAACTGAGGCTCAGATAAGTGTTTTGCTAAAGATCACATAGCTGACACAATTGGAACTCACACCCAGGTTGTCACTCCAGATCTCATGAAATAACTTAAGGATTTACATGTTTGTTGAATGAATGAAGTAACTAACAGATTAAGTACAAATTACTGATAATCTCTCACTCACATAGTGTTGTAAGATTTATAAAGACATTTCCCAACATTTTCTCATTCGATCTTCCCAACAGCCCTATGAAGTTCTGGACCCTCTGATTTGCAGGTAGGAAACCTGAGACTTAGGTGACCAATTTCTCCATGCCAAGCAGTAAGTGGCAGAGCTAAGACAAGAACCATAGGTCGCTCGCTGCTCTTTAGATTTCCCCCTATACACCCAGCAATCTTAATAATCACTGTATCTCCAGCTCTTAACATGCCAGAACACATAGGTGACGCTCAATAAATATTTGTTTAATAAGTGAAAGAATGAATGAGAGAGTGAAGAGAATCAATATCAGATTATGAATGGGGAAGAGATTTAAAAGCTGACGCAGTCTACAAGTAGAAGATTGTTAAAACAATTATCTCCGCCACGCTATCCCTCCCGCACGGGAGGTGCAATTCCTTCTCCCAACTAGGCTAATTCCAGCGCGGGAGGGAGGGGCCCTCCCAGGTGCAGGAGACCCTTGCACCTGCGCCTCTCCCCACGCCCCCCGCAGGCTCCAGGGCCGGAGCCGGGATCGGAGGGATGGGGACCCGGGAGGCCGCCAGTGGGAGGGTCGTGGGAGGAGCCCCGGGAGAACGGGGTCGAAGGGGGGGGCAGGAGGGGGATGACGGCTGCGAGAACCCCAGCGGGGCGGGGCGGGCCGGCACGTCCCGGTCGGGCTGCGGCGGAGCGAGCGGGGCCAGCTCTGCAGAAGGCGGCGGCTGGCTGGCCGGGACGGTCACATCCCGCTGCAGGGGCCGGCGGAGCAGCCGCACTGCCTCCCGCACCCGGACTCAGGCCAGCGGCCAGGCCGCGCCGGCACCGCCCCCTGCTCGAGGACAGACTACGCGGCCCGTCCGAGCTCTGGGGGCCCCGCAGCCCCGCGGCCGGCTCCCGCTACGCCTCCGCTCGCCCTCTGCCCGCAGCTCGGTCCCGCGCTGCCCCCCGCGCCGGGCCCGCGCCGGGATGGGGTAGGGGCAGCGCCACGGAGTCGGGCGATGGGCCGCCCTCTGGGCACCGAGCAGCCCCCCGAGGCCTGACCGATCGCGAGGACCGGCGGAGGTGGGTGTGGGCAGGGCAGAGCCGCGCACCCGGGTGCCCGGGTGATGCGGGGGCGGAGAAGACGTGGAGGGAAGGGGGGCTCCCGGGATGCTGTGGGCGGTGGGGAGCCCGGGAGAGCTGCTGCCACCGTGCGTTCTGGGCAGTCCTTGACCCCCCCCCCCCCAACTCCTGCCACCTCCAGGAGCCCCGCCTGGATGTCAAGCGGATGCCCCAGTGCCTCCCAGCGGACTCGGTGGGGACCATGGCTTCGCTGATGCCCCTCTCCCCATATTTAAGCCCCACGGTCCTCCTGCTGGTCAGTTGTGACCTGGGCTTTGTGCGAGCAGGTGAGTAAAGGGGGCGTGGGGTTAACCAGAGCTTGTGGATGGTACCTGTTAACCTGTTAACTCACTGGCACCCACAGACCGGCCTCCCTCTCCTGTGAATGTGACAGTCACTCACCTCAGAGCCAACTCGGCCACTGTGTCCTGGGACGTCCCAGAAGGCAACATCGTCATTGGCTACTCCATTTCCCAGCAAGTATGAATCACCCTTCTGCTCCCTCAACCTGTGTCCTTGGATCTCTGAACATTCCTTCAGTTACCCCCACCCCAGAACTAAGCTCCCCTCCCAATGGTGGAGGAAGCTGGGACCTGGTGTTCCCTCAGTCTCAGGCTGCCTTTTTCACCCTACTCCGTGGAGTGCTTGGATGTTCAAGAGTCCTGGGACTGGTGTGAGACTGCCTTCCTGTCCCATCATCTCCCTGCAGAGACAGAATGGCCCTGGACAGCGTGTGATCCGGGAGGTGAACACCACCACTCGGGCCTGTGCCCTCTGGGGCCTGGCCGAAGACAGTGACTACACAGTGCAGGTCAGGAGCATCGGCCTGCGGGGAGAGAGCCCCCCAGGGCCTCGGGTGCACTTCCGAACTCTCAAGGGTTCTGACCGGCTACCCTCAAACAGCTCAAGCCCAGGTGAGGGTCTCAGCTATTCTCCATTCCCTAAACTTTGGATTCTCTGGCTTTTTACCTGGCCTTTAGCCTCTTGTTAATTTCCCCAAAACCGGCAACACTCTAGCTTAGATGAATAAAAGGATGATTTAATTCATCATACTGCCAAGAAAGGAAGGAAAAAGGTTGGCAGGGGACTGGATATAGACAGGCTGATAATGAATTGTTTGGGGGAAGGGCTTTTAAGCTTCCTTTTACCCATCCTCAGTTCACAGCCTCCACAGCAGCCTGCGTGAGTACTCGCATGCAGCCCTCCTGCTTTTTGGTCGCTAACTACCTGCCCACCAATAGCTTCCTAGAGAGCGGCTACCGGGGGCAACCCTGTGATAAGTCTACCCTGACACTAGTGTCCAGAATCATAGAAGAACTCTGTAGCTGCTCCCCCATAACCTGGAGTCTATCTCCTCCCTCTTAGGTGACATCACAGTGGAGGGTCTGGATGGAGAGCGACCACTGCAGACAGGGGAAGTGGTCATCATTGTGGTGGTGTTGCTCATGTGGGCTGGTGAGTAAGCAGCTGGACCGGGGGGGCCAAGGATTGGGGGGTGGGGAGCTCAGTGAAGGCGGGACATGGTAAAGGTTGTTGGGAGAAAAGGCAGGGAGAGAAATGGAGTGGGGAGATACTTAGTTGAGGGAGGTGAGCAGAAGTTGGAGGAGAGGAAGATTAAGAGGGTGATGCTTGTACATGGGCACCAGAAATTCAAGGATTTTCTAGAAACTGTATGATTATCTCACTGCCCTTCAAGGCTGTGAGTGGGGAGGTCAAGATCAAGGCTCAGATTGTATTGTTGTGTTTCAGCTGTAATTGGGCTATTCTGCCGCCAGTATGATATCATCAAGGATAATGACTCCAACAACAACCCCAAGGAGAAGGGAAAGGGGCCGGAACAGAGTCCTCAGGGAAGGCCAGTGGGGACAAGACAGGTGATGTGGGGTCTGAGGGAGGGAAAGGTGATTTTGCTTCTAGGAGCAGCCATGGAAAGGGAGAAGAGCAAGGAGGGGCAGGAAAAGAAGGAGAATGGATATTTGGGATGGAGAAGGCTACAACTTTGCCACAATTAGAGACTCAAGCCATTTTCTTTTACAGAAAAAGTCCCCATCCATCAACACCATCGATGTATGAATGAAGAAACAGAACCAGAAAACAGATGCACTAGCAACCTGGGGATGGGGATGGGGTCAGGGAGAGCCCCAGCTGGTGATCTGCCCAAGACTGAAGGATCCCAGTTTCCTAGAGGGTAATGACACTCCCACAACCTCAGGCCTGGTACCCGTCCTCTTTCCACTGTGAGCAGGGCCAGAAGGTAGGTCTTAGGGTCTGCACCCCTGGACCTGGGGAATGGCTATCAGATGGGATACGTCCTTCCATCCCCCAGGTCCAGGGGAGAGTCACTTACTCAACTGTATCCCATTAGGTCCCAAACGGGACCCCCATTTCACCTGCGTCAGGACTCTTGGCATCCCCAGCTGCCCCCACATCTTGCCTCTGGGTCTCAGAGAGGGGTGTTTCTTTGGGGAATCCCCCTCCCCCAGCAAATAAAAGGAAATGTCTGGGTCTGGAGGCAGATGCCGCACTGCACTACTCCAATGTCTTCCATGGAGCCTCGGGTGCTCCCCCTCTCACCCGGTAGCCCCTCCAGCTGCTGGTGACCTCACCCCTTGGACATTTTTCCAATAAAGGTTCTTGGACAAACTGGAGCTGACTGTATGGTATACTGTATAGTATGCTGAAGACATTTCCCCACTGCCTCTCCCCTGACTATAAGGGCCTCTCACACCACCACCAACTCGACAGGAGCACTATCATTTTTAGGTGTTTGTTTTGATTCTCTAGCCTGGGATGGGTGGAGAGAGGCCAGAAATGGGTGTAGAAAACTAAAGCCCTAGTTCCTTTTGTTTTGTTCAGTGAGAAGGGGGAGAAGGTGAAGAGGGGGATATAAGTTCTCCCGTACCAGTGGAAACTAAGGTTATACCACACGAGAAGGCCAGTAACCTTTTTATGTTCGCTGCCCACGTTGACACCCAAGCTCTTCACCATTTATCCCTCTGATTCCTCCATCACCCCGAGTTGATTTTCAGAAAAGGACTGAACAGTGTCTTGGGACAAATGAAAGAGCAGCTACACTAATGGATCCCTTGGTGCCACATGCTCCTATCCTGTGCATTCCTGTACCTATTCTTCCCTGCCCTCACTTTCCCTTTTGTCTCCGTCTCTGTCTCTGTTCATTCTGTCGAAAGTCAATAATAACTGTAAAGTACAAATGAGTTTATATTCACTCTCCGCCACTATGTTCAGAGGAGGATTATGGAAATAAAACTGAGGGGTTGGAATCCCCCCTGTCAAAAGACTTCTACTTTGGGCTCTGGGGCGACTTGTTTCCTGTGAAAATAGGGGCTGTCCTCTACTCTTTCCTAAATTCCAAGGGGGGGTGTGGTGCCAGTGAGAGAAATAGCTGTTGACGTTTGCATCCACTGTGGGGGAAAGGATTCAGAACCCAGAACTGGTGTAGACAGCATATGCTACATTTTCTGGAGACGTACAGGTCTTCTCAACTTCGGATCTTTCCAGAAGAGGTATATAAATAACTCTCCTTCTCTGCATCTCAGTCTCTCTGGTATGTTACAAGAATTTAGACCAATAATTCTGAAATGGGCCCCAATCCAAAGAGAGATCAAGAAGTCAATATCCTTTCTACTCAAACAAGCTCCAACCCCAGGTATCACAAGACTTAACCTTAACCTATCAGGTGAGCCAAGCTCCGGTTTGCCCTCTACCTTGAACCATAGAAGCATCCTGATCTGGGCAGCTGTCTTTAATCCACTGCCCCCCAATTCTGAAGTAGGGTACCTTACCTCTCTCACTGGCTACGGGTTCCAAAACACTCATCTCTCAGACTCTGGACACATCATTTCTTGGGATGGGGGTGGCACAGGGTATAGAAGCATGGCATGGAGATGGAGAGACAGGAGTTCAGAAGGGATATAAAGGGTGTTTAAATGCACCAGCTCTGGGTTGAATCCCAGTTACATCCTTTACTGGCTGTTAGTTTGGGTCCATGACCCTTCTAATCCCGAGCCTCCTATTATGTAAAATGGGACTAATAATGTCATCGCCTTCAAAAAGTGTCTTTGAGATTAAATGAGATAATGCATGTACAGCACTTTGCACAGTACCTGGCAGATAACATGCTGAGCATTCACTGTTAGCTATCATTATTAGCCTTTTGATCCCGTGCAAGTCACATAACGTATTTGGGCTGAATTCCATCAGCTGCAAAAACGTCTATGAAAGCAATTGCCCTGCTTTCCATCAGGGTTATGATGATTAAAAGAATGCATTCAGGTACACTTACTCACATCAAGGCGCGAGAAAGACTGTGATTACATAGCTCCCCGACTTGCTGAGGGCTTGTGGGCGTGGCTTGAGCCTGGACTTGCAGGCAACGACGGGATTGGTTGAGAGGATTCAATTCCACTCGCAGTCCCGCCCTAGATCTCACTGCGCCTGCGCACGTTCTGTTTGCTTCGCCGCGAACCTACGTGGTGACCTTGCGAAGTGTGTGGCGCTCTGGTCGCATCTGCGTCAGCGGCAGTCGCTGCGGCTGCGTGGCGGGTTGTCCAGGTAACCACGGGAGTTGTCGCTGACTGGTGGCATCTGAGAGACAGGTGTTCGTCATGCAGTTGAAGCACCTGAGGACCCTGCTGAGCCCTCAGGTGAGGAGTTGCGTGCCTCTTCCCACCCCCACCCGCCTTCACGTTCCAAGAAAAGTGAGGGAACGGAAATTTAATGATGTTGAGCGCCTACTGTATGCGGAAGACCGAAGGCTCTAGCGATGATCCCGACTGTGTGCGGCCGATAGTGTTCAGTAGGCGAGACGGACCGCTAACCTCGGTAGCTTTCATTCCGTTTCCTTTAACATCAGTTGTGTACGGGGCCCTGTGTTGGGCGCACACGTAAACAACGAACATAAATCTGCACCCAAATAAACCAGCGCTTTAGGTGCAGGCCCAAAAGAGGGAGTGTAGGAGACCTTACGTTCCTTCTGATGATGCAGATCTCAGACTCAGAAGAGGCGGGGCACTGAGGGAGAAAGCCTAAACCATACTGAAGAAAGGCTGGGTTTTGGAGCTAGGAGACCAGAATTTAAATCCTAGTGGCAGCTGTACTTTTAATACATGACCCAATACCGCTGACTTTAGCCCAGGCCACAGTCTCTCTGAGCACTCACCCAACGACTTCATTGGGAAAATGGAAGTAACAATAATAACAACCTTAGGGGATATGATGGAAGAGTTGAAGTAATGTACACAAAGTCCACTGTGAACCGAAAAGCAGTGTAAAAACTGATAGACAAGAGAGGAGAACTTTCAAAATTCAAAGAACAAAATTATACAAAGCTAATAATAATACCTGCCACCGTGTATGTTTAATATGTTTATTATGCAAGGCAGCTTAAGTTAAGTTAGGATTGTGGTTTGTGGAGTCCAGCATACATGGATTTAAATCATGGTTCTGCCACTTACTAACTGTGTAGGTAAGCTTGAGCAAATTACTTAACCTTTCTGAACCTCAGGTTCCCCATTTGTAAAATATGCATAATAATGGCATCTATGTCAGCTTTACGGGGTAAAATGAGGTAACGCATATCGGGTGCTTGTCAAAATGCCTAGTCTATGGTAAGATCTTGTTGAAGGTTAGCTATTATTATTGTTTCCTGCCCCATTTAATCCTCATGACGGTGCTGTAAGGAATCAGGAAGGCTTCACAGAGGATGTGGCATTAGGAGGATAGAAGGAAATTGGGATGAAAGAGAGAGGTGCTCATTGCTCAGTAAACTGCCCCCAAAACTGTAATTTAAAAATTCCTTTAGCCTAGTGGAATAATTGGAAATGAAAACCTCCCTCAGTCTTTCAGAATAAGATGTCATGATGCCGGGAAGGGCAAAGGCCCAGGATTGGGCAAAATGATGAAGATGATGAGCCGTGGTTGTTGAGGCATCCTCCACCCTTGGAACCGAATTTAAGCAAGAGTTGGAGGGCGGCAAAAGTGGTGGTATGGCTATTTTCTGCCTCTGGTTTGAGGACCTTGATGAAAGGGGGCCTTTTTTTTTTTTTATAACCCTTTACCTCTGATTTTGGAAGTAGGTGGGATAGGAGTGAAAAGTACCAAAGTTTTAAACCAGACTTCTAGAACCCAAGTAATTCATCACACAATTGGAGCAGAAACTAAATTTTTTATTTCAAGGAGGGAAGTCCCTAGTGCAGAACCATTGAGGACCAGCACTCGTGGTGGACAGATGTGGCAAGAATAAGTCACTGGGAGATGATCACTTCTAACCTGGGCTTCTGTTAAGGGACGGGAGAAGGGTAGAAATGCAAAAAACTAACCAGGTGGCATTGTTCATCCTAAGTCTCAACTCTGATTATCTATCTTACTCCTCATTCTGGAACTTTCACCATATCTCCTTTTCCTACCAAATAAGCCCACACTCCTTGGCCAGGCTTCAAAGACCTTTCCTGAGCTGGCCTTGCTCTGTTTTTCTTGCCTTATCTCCTCTATTCTATTTGCAAGATAGTTTCAGCTAAATTAAATTACTGTTTCTTGACTAGACTTGCCTTTGGTCATAAGTTCCCCATTTGTGGATCCATTCCTCAGAGCTTAAAGTTGATCTTTTAAACATAAAATTATCTCAAACTTCTCCAAACTATTATTGTGCTTTGTACATGCTGCTTTTATGGGACTCTTCCTGTTTTTGCACCATATTATTTAGCCTGGGGCAGGAATCAGATTTTGCTCTTTGTCTCCTTTTCAGCCCCTGACCAAGCACCTTTCTCAGTATTCAAACAAAATATTGAAAAAATGGCTAAAGACCAAAACTTATCGGACCAATTGAATTTACTTAAGCAGCAGACCTGGAATATGAGGAAGCAAGGCCATTGCAGGGCAAATTGGTACAATTGATTTAGCATTGTCACCTCTTAGTGTATTTGCATTATGGGTTTCTGGAAGCACCTGTTCTCCTGGTCCAGGGTTTTATAGCCTTGGAGACCAGGATGCGTCACAGGCATCTCTTTGTTTTAAGTACTATGGTGAGGAAAATTGACCAAAGTCACCCTAGAACT